CGCTACACATGCAAAGTGAGTTTTCGGGACTCAGTAATAGCACTTTTCAAAAGTGAAAATATTCCGACAAGAGAGTTGACATCTGGGGCGAAAAAAAAAAATTGGCTATGTCATTATACTCGTACAATATTCGTTAAACCTTTCATATGAGTTCTTGTAACTGAAATACGCACTAATTGTCTCTTTCCAAGGACGACTGGTCAAGGAATAACAGTAAAGGCTTATAAGCTGTCCGAAGTGGAGGAGCAGATTTTCGATCCGAGCGTGCAAGTGGTTTCGATCGATGAAGGGCAGTTCGTGAGTAATTACAATCAGTTCCTCGTTTTTGATCAACCAAGTTTGACAAGCTTACCAGTATTCTCTATTAACCACCCTCGCCTTCCTAAAAAAGCCGTTGTATGTGGATACCGAGCCGCCATCTGAATACCGTGCTTACTGCTCCAATTGTATAGCGGGGGGCATTAGAGGCTAGAAAAGCCAATTAGGTTATTTAAGAGTCCATACCAAGGATTCGAAACACAGTCAATATTTGTGATTCTGGTATCACTTTTGAATGCACCAACTCTGTGTGGGAGACAACCACTTTTTTGATTGCGCACTTGAATAATTTCTTGCTTGACGCCTCTGCTTCCAAAAACTTACAAACTCACCCATTTGTTTGATTTAGTCGGTGCATGAACTTTTTAGCTCACAATCTGACGTAGTTGCTTTCCCCTTGCCCCACACTGTTGCCTGATTGTCTTTTCACTTCTTATAATTTCCAATGACAACATGTGTGGATACAAATATGCCTTTTGTTTTCAGTTCAGCGATTGTGCCGAAACATGTGACAAATTAGCCTGTATGGGGAAAGTGGTATACGTAGCAGCTCTGAGCGGTACCTTTGAAAGAAAGGTATTACTAGAATATTTTTACATCATCATTGATATTCCACTTATTGATACTCATGGACAAAATTTTTTGGTCTCTGCAGTGTCAAATAGCTCCCTAAATGGATCTTATGGAAAAACAAATTTTGTTCATGGCATGTAGTTGCAGCACTCTCATGTGTTTGTTACAGAAGATTCGTATGAACCAGAATAACCTAATAGTGATATGTTCATCATGCATTTTGTACTTGTTCGAATTTAGTGTTTAGTGTTTCATTTCAGCCATTTCCTCAAGTGTCTTTACTTCTGCCATACGCCGATGAAATCAAGCAGGTCGTCGCCGTATGTGTAGGATGTGGTTCGGATGCCAGTTACTCGTTCCGGAATACCCTAGACAAAAAGGTGGGTTTCACATTTTTGCCCGGCTCAGATGAAAAGCATATCTGAGAAGTGATCTATGAAATTAAAAAAGGAACATAATGCGCTCGCGGAAGTGATCACGCGGTCTCCTTTAGATCGTCCAACGTTAAATTGCCTACCTCTTTCGAATACAGGCCGTTTCTTCGTTCCCAATCAAAAAATGGTTGTCCGAAACGTCTAAAATGTTTGATTTCGAGTCCCTTCTGAAGCTTAGTTTCAGGTGGAAGTAATCGGTGGGGAGGATACGTATCGAGCATTATGTCGCTCATGCTATATTGAGGAGTCCTGCCGACGTGAAGAAGAGGCTACAGAAGTGACTGTAAGTGAGAACCAGCCTGCTGCCACTGAAACACTTAAGGAAAGCGAGGCTTCGCTGTCTGATATACCTCGTAAAATGTTGAGAATGATGTACTACTCTGATTAGCTAACCAATATGTTGATTAATGTTTTTGTTTGGATTCCTGAGCTTTTCACTTTGTCGTTCCAAATGATTCCACAACTATTCACATATCATAACAACCTCAGCACGTGAATGTCGTGCTTTTTCTGTGCCATGCAATGACTAACATTGAGTGACTCTGGTCCTCTCTCGTGTAATTGAATTTCCAATTGCTATTCTTGACTTTTTGCCTTATTACATGATGGTTTTGGTTGATGAATGCTCAAAGCAGATGATTCGATAAAGACAGTTACATGGCTTTGGTACATTAGTGCAGATGTTTTGGTGGCTGGAGTTAAGGTTAAAGAAGGCTAACCTCGTAAGTGATCTACGTTTACAGTGGCTCGGTTAAAGGTTAGGTAGGGTTTGGTTGGTTAAACATGCCGGTGCCCCAGAAGTTTATTGTAGGACCACCATTTTTTGATCAAATATTTTTACGGTGACAAGTGTTGGTGAGGCTCATTTCAAGGCGGTAATTTTTAAATAAGCCGAACTCATGCGGTTTATTTGTTTGCAAGCCCAATTATTGGATTCAAGGGAGGCGTAACGTTAACCTAGTAGTGCGCCTGGTGGTAACGGATTCTGATCAAGCCAAAGGTCGAGGCCTATTCAGAGTGGAGCTGGTTGTTTCCTTTTTGATAATTTCTGTTCATTTTCCTGTATTGACTCTGGCAGATTACGTTCCACTTCATTGGGAGTGTTTTCAAGAGGCAAAGGAAACAGCCAGCTCCACCCTGAATGGACCTCGTCCTTTATCTTCTGTTACCACCGCATTTCTAGGTTCAACGGCAAGATGCAATTCTAGGTCTTGTTGCATCAGAGAAACGATCAAAGTCCACATTGACTTACTCAACATCGGTAGGCAAAAGCAGTACGGCCATTGCAAAACGCTAGGACCATTGTTAGAATATATGGTTAGCTGTGTAACTTACATAGACGACTTCCATCCATTTCGTGAACGAAGGCACAAAACCATTCGTTGCTGGCGTTGAAGACAGTCATCTACAATTAATTCAGTACCCTTTGAAAATGACAGGCCGAGAAACACTCAGCTGCTTCAGCAGATGTTTGACATAAATGACACACATCACCCTATACCATAATAAACTACCTTCAAAATCGTTGAACTCCTTCAAGGGTCCACTTGAAGGCACAGTTCGAATTAATTCCGTTAAGCTTGTCCGGATGACGGGGCCAAAGTGTTCATTCCAGGATATAAGCCTTTTTTGAACCAGCCAGTTTTAAGATTAGACGATTATGAGGCGAAGGGGTGTCAGACAAAATGAACAGGCCATCTGCCTTGTATTCCAACGGCTAAACACACCCACACACTCTCTCTATTAGAAGCGAATCCATAGGAGACGACTCGTTCACCTGCAATCACTCTCGGCTATTCCAAAGATTCGCTGAATAGTAGTATCCGCTCTTTTGAAAAAGTACTGAAGTTTGGCCAGTGGGTTGACCAGCTCTAATGGCCAATAGATAACGCGCGCGGAGCTTTGTCTAAAACTTCCGTTCCACTCTAAGCCGAGCGGAATACATCGGCTGCGTTATCACTGGAGATAAGAAGTGATGCCTTTAGGAAAATCGAATGTTGAAATATCGGCGGCTAGATTCATCACAAAGGGCTGGACCAGGTGTGAGATCAGGTGCGTTCAGGAAAAGATCATTCTCTGCGCCTGGTGAGAGCTCGTTGAATTCGCCACTGGGGGCACCTCCATCTAGATGCCAAGTCTGCTGCAATCAACTGCCATCATCTGTTAAGCTCAGCTAAACTCTTCGAAGCTCGACAAAGCATAGCCTCACTCACAACAGTGCAAAACCACATGCCATGATTATGACAGTTATCCAGATGCTGAGACCCGGCTGGAAACTTTGAGGCCCTTACGAGCAGCCCGATCATCCCTCTTCCGGCTACTACCTAATATTGTCTCTCAGCATTTTATGGGCACGAAATGCTCTTTAGAAGACTTCAAAAATGACGTAATTGCCTTTTTGAGACCGAAACCGTAGGATTTCTAAGGATGCGATTCCACTCATTGCGTAGTCGTTGGAAAGCAATTGACGATGATGATGTCGCTTCATTGGTGTTTACAGTGATATTGCATTTTGTTAAAATAAAGTTCAATGGAGAAGTTTCGAAAATGCAATTTTTTTTGCGATAACCTAATATTATGTGAACCGGTCGACTTTTAAGAAACAACGCTCAAATGGTTTTTTGGATGATCAGTACAGTCCCTAACATATGTATAGGATCACTAGGATGACTTCTTTCAGAAGAGGCCCGCACCGCTTTTCACTTCCATCCCACCACTTTCCTAATGTTGTAAACAACGCTCAGAGACCATTCAGAAGAGAAGAGGTCACCACAACTTTTGAGCCACTGATCTCAACTTGGCTGTTAATAGAACCGACTTCCTCAATGGGGTGTGATTTGAATCGCTTAATAGATAGCCTCATTCTTTCTTCTAGTAGAGATTCTTCTTACTAGTAGAGATTGCTCCGCATTTGAAGAGGACCTCGATTATTTCAACCAGAAGTTGTCTTCCAAGAATGCTCCTTTCAGAGTGATAGCTTTTTGCTCTTTACCTTAAAGTGTTTTGAAACAATTACTGTCGCTTTCGAAGGTACCAGGAAAATGCTCGGAAAGTAAAGAGGAGCTTTTTATCAAAGTAACTCCTCACGGACGACGCAGTCACCTTTTGAGAGCAAGTATTCCGCAAAAGGGAATTCTTTAAAATTCAATGACTCTGAGGAAATGGTAACTATGGATTGATGACAGAATGTGCCATTGCAACATTCTCACAAAAGGCTACAATCCTGCATTTAGACCAGCTTCAAACAACAGTGGCCTTGTTCCCATCGAGGTCGTTGGTGTGTTATACCAAAGGTTACCTGATTTCTTGGAGAGATCTAGGATAGTCATCAGTAAAGCTTTGTGTAGGCAGAACACGATATCCAGTGCCATTACAACTCTAGACGTGCATCAAAGTGCATGGCTCATTCCTAAAGTGGCGTTCCTCCTCCATTTATTCCACTTCAAAAAGTTACCGAAAAAACGATGACAAAGTATTAAAGTCAAAAAGGTTATGATGGTGCTTTGATAGTTGCTCTTTGAACATTACATCAGGCGATACAACCAAATATGTGATCCTGTCACGTCCATTACTACTTGTCACGTTCCCGATGAGCCCTCTACCTGATCAACTTCCGTTACTCATCGAAATATGTAATGGGCGGTCCCCCTGATAGGTCAATTCTCACCATGACTGCTCGCTTTTTACTATCGTTTTTTGTTCTTTACTTTTTTCCAGATGATCAATTAATCACCACTTTGATGACCTTGTTTTCATCGAAGTAGCATCCGGTGAGAAATATGACGGTTTTTGTAGTTTGTTGTAAAGTTACGTGACAAAATTACGAACATCCTTTTGGTTACAGTAATCAGTTTTTACTTTGGCTAAATTTAGTCAACAGACGTTACGTTGACAAATAGTTCCGATCGGGTATTCCCCAAGGTTTTTCTCATCCATAAATGTATGTACTTGAAAGAGAAAGTCTCATAGTGCAAAAACACCCAGGAATCACAGCTAAGAGTACCAAGTTTTTCATAACTACTAAATGAGAGATTAAAGGAGAGCAAGGGTACCCTTTCCTTCAACTATAGTCCGGCCATCAGAACCAGAACACATGCATGAACAGCTGACCAGGCCTTTCATCCCTTGAGGGCCGTTTTATGGCGCCAGGCTCGTATGGGATAGAAAAATGGATCAGAACGTTGACGGTTTCCTGCAAACCATTGTTTAGGCTGAATGAGTCGGCGAGGATAGTGTAAAATCAGTTTCAGGAAGCAGATGGATTTTTGGCATGATACCAAGAAAGGAAGGGACATCCCTTATCACCTATCCACTGCTAGACTATTTACAAAAACATTTTTATGAAAAGATTATGGTATCACAGACACAACGTCATTGCAAGAAGTCGCTAAAGCCGCTAAAGGAGGGATTCCCATGGTTCAGATGGTAACTGACACCACACATCCCTGTTTCGTTCTCTACCCATGCTTATTTTTAGACGTTATCGAAGACAACCACGAAGTTCTTTCTCAACTAATGCACGTCCTATGGTTTTGAGATAGAGGCTCCATATATCTTCATTTTTCATGACTCAAGGTCTCCTAACAATTTAGAATTCTTTTGACGTAACGAAAAAGTCACCGGCATTCGTGCAATGCGCCGTCAACGAGTGGAACTACCCGAAACGTTTTTTTTTGTTGACAAATTGAGGTCACCCGTGTGCACAGTACAAATCCGTCTCACGCACATCGCTAGCGACGCTTTTAGCGAGCCTCTTCAATCATTGGCTGATTTTCTTTTTTGAAGTCTATTACGGTGTTTCCTGATTCGTTTTCATTGAAAGATATTCGTCCCTGAAACGACTAGTTCCCACTAGAAGCCGAAGGTACTGTAGTAAACATTGTCCCAAAGTTCAAATGAGGTCCACGTAGAAGAACCTTTGAATTCGCTCACTTGGCTGATCTGCCCTAAAGTAGCGTTTCCAGACTTTATCAAGGCCAGCCAGGTAGTTTGAATGGAGCACTAATCTGAATTATATCTGGAAGTTCCAACCAGAAGGTACACCCTACCATCTCCATCTATGATTTGTGACTTCTCCGGACGTGTTTACGCTTCGTCACCCAGTTTCCAAAGAGTTTTCGACGAAGACCATCCATGTTTCCACGTAAACTACCTAGAAAAAAGATCCACGGCACAATACGTTACTATGGAAAGTTGTAATAGTAATAAGGTATTACTGAGTTTACACAGCGATTTGGGTGAGGAAGAAAAGTGGGGAGGGGAACCGGAAGGAACACGAATGGAGGGATCGAGCTTATGCAGAGGACAGTGCTACTCTTCCCCAACTGCATACATATCATGATACCGATGCATCGACTCTAGCAACGCAGTGTAAAAGTTGACTAATCTTGGTGGGAATGGATCTCGGAGTTGATCCTTGGACCGCGAACGTGAAAAAGGCATCTTTGCCTTTTTTTTCATCGTCTTTGCTCTTTTTTTACGCATTTGTGCCCAACCATAAAAAACGGCAAGCTGATCCAGAGCAAAAACTTTGGTGACCCATTTTGCAGCTGCCTTTTTCGTATAGCGCGGTTTTCTACGTAGTTGAGAATAGAGTTCGGAACTGACTGGGAAGGTAATCAATCTGAATTGGTTAGAAGAACAGGAAGGGAGCAATCAATCGCTAGAAATACATGTACAGAATTGACAGCTGGATATTATTACACACTAATAAATTTACGGAAACCACAGAATTACCATCGTCTTCTTCGGCAGCAATAAATTGCTGCTGTCTCAGCTAGGTGCAATAGCTTGTATTAGGATGTTCCTTCCAGAGCCATGGTAAGACAGGATATGTGGAGCAAGTGGTTTATGGATCTGATTCCGGATCTTACTCCTTCAAAGTCATTTGAACTCTCCAAACCTACAAGGCTGATGAAATGGAGCAAGAGACAAATAAAAAACACTGGCTTGCATTTTTTTTNTTTTTTTTGGTTTCCATTGGATTCTAAAAGCCAGATATCATGATGGCTGTGTGAGAACCCGAGCAAACGCATTTTAAGAAGGGATTGTGAGGCTTTCCACTTCTAACTTCCCCGGCGATTCCTTGAAAAGCTATTGTTATTCCCTAGAGATTTATTATCAGACTCTTGATACTCCTGAAAGCATGACCACATGAACAGAAGTTCAACTCGTACATACCCCAACCCCTGAAATCAGGAGGGGAGGATTGTAAGTTTGCGGTTGAAAGCTAAGGTAAAAACAAGTTCTTTAGCTCCCGGATAGCACAAGTACGGGTCGAATCCTGTCCTAGAGCGA